CCAACTCTTCGTCCACCAGCAGCTGTCGCCGATCATAAGCCTGACGCCTCTTAGCCTTCAGTTCTTTACGCTCGTCTTCGGCGATGTCAGCGGTGAGTTGAAGAGAGAGGTTCTCAATTTGTTCGCAAAGGGCGACAAATTTCGGGCGGTGCTTTAGTTAATCCAAACTTTTGCTTGGAATTGACTGCGGGAGATCGGGATGTCTCTTCATTGACGCACTGCGAAAGTCCTCTGTAAGGTCCCGCCGTGGTTCCAGCCCGAGGAAGACAGCGGCACCGTCCACGTTACTTGTATTGTCCAGATAGTGGCCAACAAGAGTTCTTGGGTTTCTGTGCGCGGCGAACTTCATCACCTGTCCAAGCGAGTAGCCTCCATCTGCTGCCGGGTCAGCTTCTCGTACAGTGAATTGGCTCGGTGTAAGATCGCCCTACCGTCTACTTTGATCAGCGCTTCGCGGCGAGAGGCATGTAGTCCCATCCCTCCTGGAAAGCCAGCCCTTTTCGCCCAATCGGAACACTGGTGCCCCATGCGGACTCGTTCTTTACTTTCTTGGTTACTCCATCTGCGGACATCTCGGGAAAGACTGGGTCGTCCAAAACGGCGTCCGCCCACTCCATGATCATAAACCTCCTCCTGGGCGGCGGTCTGGCATCGAGGACCGCCTCGATGGTGTTGTAGTCCTTAAATGCGCCAGCCGAAATAATGACAGCCAATAAAAACAAAAGGCCGTTGACGAGCAAAGGAGGCGTAGGATTCAGTCTCTCGTATAGCGGATGCTTCGGTCTGTATGTCGACGGAAGTGTAAGCAACGGGGATCTAAGCCTGGAAGCGGCCGACATTAACCACTCACTTGTTGGGATTGTCTTGCATGCCTTTTGTGTGTTCTCTTTTGAACCGTATCTTGATCTCCGGCTCTCCGTCTTTCCATGCGACCATGCAGAGAAGGTCCTGTTGGACATTGTTACCACCGACCGCGTTATTCCATCTCCTCTGGCTCAGGATCAGACCTTGTACTTTGCCTTGCAGATTTCTTGTAATCTTGCAGAGGTGTAGCAGTGCATCTTCAATAGGGCACTGCAGTCCACTCGGCTCGCTTCATGGGCGTAATCGTGATGATCGTTCAGCCAGAGGAACTCTTCCATAGCGACATAGTTCTCTATCGTCAAATAGGTGGGTTCTTTCTCCTCGATGGACAGCGGAATTTTGTATCTAAGCACATGTTTGATGTACTTTCTCTCGTCAGCAAATGAAACCACACGTTGGCGCTCTAGCTCAGGAAGCGCTTCAACACACTTACAGGAGCCATCGAGTCATGAACGTCTTTAGGGATGGTAAGGTGAGTCTCCCTCTGCCATTGCGACATGAACTTTCGAATCTTATTCCGTATCGTCTTGACCGTCGCCCGTTTCTTGTTCTTATCCAGGGCCTTTTCCTTGTCCAGCCTACCAGGCGTCGCGCGTCCGACCACTTCGGCGAAGTGTTTCATAACTTCCATGCTGCGAGGATCGGACCCCGGATATTTCCTTTCGTACCTAGTCCTTGTCAGGTTTCTCTCAGACACTCGAGCAAGGCTTCCTGGTGGCATACGCTTTCCAAACCTCCATCATCGCCTCGTACCCGGGTTTAGTGCTCTCAGCAAGTTCTGCATAAACAGGCTTCCCGTCGATCCCCGACCTGTCCCCGGAGAGCCCATCCTCTAATGCCGCCTCTATCTGCTCGTCTGGGTTTAGACCCTTCCAACTTCTTTTCTCGTTCTTGATGCTCATAGTTGATGGCTCCCGAGTGTCCCAAAGACCTATACCTGTGCCAAGAAGGGAAAGAAGAAGCCGTACTAGGAGCCCGGTCAGAGGATGTGAAAAGAGTTAACGAAGATCAAGTCACTCGACAAAAAGGAGAGGGAAGGTACGGAGAGGAGGGGAGGGGAGAATCGACGACAAAGCAGGCAGAAACCCAACGAGACATTGGAAGGGGCAGGGGCACTATTTCTGGGAACCCTCCCTCGCGCCGGAGGCACAAGGCACGTCGTGCGAGGCCCATCACGCTCATGAAGACCGGCTCGTTCTCGCAGGGTCGAGGAGGCAACGTGCCGTGGTGCGTTTCCAGGGAACCCCCCTAGGAGCCTCGTTTTCGGGCCCTCGTTAAAACTTGACAGTCTGGAGGAGGGACGACTTTTGGGCCCCTGCCCCGATGTGGCCAGCAAGGTGAGCTGGCCCAGCCGAGCCTGAGCCGACGTTGAGCCGGACGCGAGCCAGCCTGAGCAAAAGCGGCGCGAGGTCACGTGAGTCAGAAGGTGGCCGGGCGTCGAGATTCCGGTCATAAAACAGTGTTGTTTGTACATGTGAGGCAGACTTGACCCGTCTGTAAGGCTCAACTGGTTGATCAGGTAGGCTTGCTCAATGCATTCGTGCTCAAGAATTGACTAGAGGATCTCAAATCATGCTGTACCTCAGTACAGAATCAGGAGGATCGCCAAATGGGTTCCGTTGGAGGAATGGTTTGTCTCGGGCCCGCTACGTCAGCCGGTACAGATTTCGCCGTATTAGGCTGGAGTTCAGTACTTCTATCAATAGCACCTCAAATATAGTAGCTCTTTACCTTAGCTTTCGGCCATGTGTCGCTAACCAACAAGACCAGGAATGGCCAGTTCGCAATTACTGGCTGTGAAGTGTTTTATTGCTGTCATTTGATTTCTCTCTGCGAAGTTGAAATGCTGGAGCGCTAACAGGCAGCGAGCCAGGCTACGTTTCTCCTCATCTGCCACCCTTTCCTCATCTGCCACCTCTCCTCATCTGCCACCTCTCCTCATCTGCCACCTCTCCTCATCTGCCACCTCTCCTCATCTGCCACCCTTGCTTCATCTGCCACCTCTATCTAGGATTAGACCCATGGTGAGGAAACCATGCTTATATCCAAACTGCCTAAAGTCCACTCGCCGTCGAGAAAAACACGACAATCTACCTCACTACCAATGCCTAGAATGTGAAGCGGTCGCCCCTCGAAAGCTGCAATCGCAACATTGCCATCCATCATTTACCACCCAACCCCTTACACGTCCGCCGACCCCTTCAATCTGTCGAAACAAACCCGAGCCTTGTTGGTGTTCACGATGCCCTATTCAGGAGAGCAAGAATATCACACGTCACAAGAAAACACCACATTATATCTGTGAAACATGTGACTCGGAAGGTGGCAAGAAGGTTTTCATCGGAGAGGTCATTGCTCACAGGCATAAAAGATTCCACCAGGGCCATATTGTCTCTAAGATAAGAGAGGGCGATCGTACTGAGCATACACCCTTGACTTCAGTCAATGTAAGCCCGGAGAATTCGGCGCATAGATTGAACATATGTCTCCAACCAAGATTGAATGACCATACCACGGCAAATGGTGCGCAAGCGAGTGTGGAACTTTCTAGGACAAGAGGTCCCGGTCGGCCTTCGCTGGAGGAGTTAGCTGCGACGTTACGAGAATCACAACGGATTGTCTGTGTCGTAGGTGCAGGTATCTCGACATCTGCAGGAAGTACGCACAAGCCCTATTTGTCGTGCATCCGAGCACTAACATTACCCCAGTTCCTGATTTCCGTTCTGCTCAGGGACTCTTTGTACAGCTTGAGACGGAACATGGCCTTGCTGAAGGCTCAGGCAAGGAGATCCTTTCCGCGTCCGTCTACGAGCATGAAAGCACCACAGCAGCACTGCACAGCTTTGTTCGTAAGTTCACAGAACTCGTTGATGCTGCACGACCTACCCCATTTCATCATTTCTTGGATCGAATTGCGGCCAAAGGCAAACTCCAACGTCTCTTTACAATGAACATCGACGATTTGGACGTCTCAATGCCTAATCTAATCACGAAAAGGCCGCTTCCTTTACATGGCCCTTGGCCGAAAACAATTCAGCTTCACGGTACTATCAGCAAAATGGAATGCACGAAGTGCCATAGGATCAGTGATCTTGATGGGGCTTTATTTGTGGGACCGTCTATGCCTTCATGCCCGCGGTGCAGCAAGCAGACCCGCAAACATGGGCTGAGGCCGCGTTTCACGCTTTACGACGAAAGTGCCAGATACGATCCTGCTATTGGCAATGCCGAGCAAGAGGATATCAAATCAAGACCAGATCTTGTTCTCGTGGTAGGAACTAGCTTGCAGATTCCTTCTGTCACAAGATTGATTCACAACTTCGGCCACTTCGCCAAAATCCTGTGGATTAACAAAGAGCCACCACCAGAACTTCCTTTCGGCTTAGACTACATATATAGGGCTCCTTGTGATGATTTTGCGAGGTGGATTTCGTCTGAAGTTGAAAGCGACTAGGGGGGACTCTCGATGTTAGGTTGTCAAATTTTAAAGGTCTAAGAGAACTCTCCGTTCATAAAAACACCAATAGAAATCTAAAGGAAGCTTCATATGGGCATTGAATCTACGGTTGATGATATCTCCATGTGAAAAGGATGTAACACTCAGCATGAATTTACCCACTCTTCATATGGGTCACAATTGAATTCTGGGTGCAATATTTCCTACGTTGGAAAACCACGACAACCCTCGTCCCGGACTGCGCAGTTCTCTTTTTCAAGCTCTCTCTCAAGATCCCCAGCCGATGCAAATCCTTTGGTCCAGCATTTCTCGATAATAGAACCCAGCCATACCTCGCTTGTTGACGGAAGTGTTTCCCGTCGAGGCCAAGTCGTCGGATCCCCCACTTGCTGCCAGTCTTCATAGATATCAAACGAACAATGTTGACCAGTTATGATCTCAAACATTACTGCCCCAAATTGTCCAATATCGGTTAGAATAGAAAATCCATATTTATCGCAGCCTTTAAGGTCCCATTCGAGATGCATTAAAGAAGATTCAGAGAAGTCAATGAGCCTGATATTCATATCATCGTCATACACGATATTATCCAGCCGGAAGTCACAGATGATAACACGTTTAGTATGTGCGAAGGCCATAGTACGCGCCAAGTGAAGTAACCGGAAGAGCTGACGAGACCTTTTTAGCCGGATCTCGCCTAGATGCTGCCGTAGGTCGCCATTCATCAACGGCATCTGGATTGAGGGTTCTTCGGAGTCGACGTTATAACAGCGGATAATCCCAGGATGGTCGCCTAGCCTTTTATAGATAGCTTTTTCGTGCTTGAAAGACATGATGGCAACGGCGAGCTCGTTGTAGTTGTCTTCATTGTGGTCCAATATTCTGTCATGAACAGGAACTCCATCAATTTCGGACAACTTCGATATCCGGGGGATTTTGAAGGCGTATCCTCCTCGATTGACGACAATGCCTGCACCACCCACTCCAATAATCTCATCTTTCACAATTGTGCCGTCGAGATATAGGTAGTTTGCGATGTCCGATGTCATGAATAGTTGGGTCCGTCTGTATATGAGTCGTGTGGCTAGGTTGGTGGGCGAAGCGCGTAAGAAGGGCTAAACAAGTTGATATTCCGTGGCAAAAGCTTCGATCACGAAATGCCTGCTTAGGGAGAACTCTAGACATAAATGCATTGAGAGGTTGAGCTGAGTTGTTGATTGTCGCTGCTCAACGACGGCCCATTGGCGCACTTTCTTGGCAATGCCCCTGCCCAGATTTAGGTAGCGCATATATTTGTTTTCCTTGCCTCACTTTAACTAACTTGTTATTCTTAATCTACCCCACCTTGCGCCTCTCCTAGAGCTCGTGCTTGCTACTTCCACACATAGACCCATGTCCTTTACTAGAGCCTAGTGGAAGACAAGGCGCGGGCCGGTATATGTACATCGAGAATCTTATCTTAGTCGGGATGATAGTATCTACTAGAGGAGTTGGTACATATAAAGAGGGTCATTGCTCTCTCGTGCGATTCCCTACTCATACAGAACTAAAATTTTTGGCATCGACACCTAAGGATATTCGATTCCAAACCCTTCCGCTTCATCGAGAGAAGGTTAATAACTGGCATACCTCAATTATCTACCATGCCGAATCCAAAAGGTTGTGGCTGCAAGATCGAACACCCTGCCAGGCGACGTTTTCCGGACTGTTCTAAAACACCAAACTCTCAAATTTCGTGCCTCTTGACTCACATCCCCAAAAACAGAACACATGTTTGTAATCGACAGGATGTTCAGAGACACACTTTCGAAAATATTCATCCGGCCTCGTCGACTCGGCGTCACGAAAACTGCTGGAATCATCGCGTCCCGGGAGGTTATTATCACAACGGACAGTTTCATGGCCCATTGTATATGAGAACCGCCTTCTGAAGGCGGTCAGCCATCATTTCGGACGTGTCTTGAGTGCAATGATGCGGCATCAATTGCCACAACGGAATCTTGTGTCGTGAAGAGATTAATGGGACATTCATTGCTGAAAGGAGAATTCTTCCTGTCTCTCACTCCCTCATACGGTTAGCGAAGTACGAACAGAGATATCATCCACTAAGAATTGTTCTTGCGACATGACAAAGTCATGATATACGCAGAGCATTTCTATATCTGGCCCGGCGAGCCGGGCAGGCCTCCAACATCTTGTTGGAATTTAGTGTCCTTCCTCACAATTTCTCCAACTAGTTTACGAGTAGCAAGCGGAGATTCAAGCTTGTCAAGTAACAATAGGGGGCTTGTAGGGGGATGTATTTCTCACAATCACACACTCTTCCACGTCTCTCACACTCTTCCACGTCTCTCACAATCTGCCTTACAACATTATATTGGTCTTTCTAAGGCGCCTACGCTCCTAGATAAGTAGTGCGTACGTAGGCGTCGTATCTGCGAAGGAATGCAATTTCTCAAGAGCTGCGGCGGACCACACGGCAAGCTGCATGATCGCCTCATTATAGTCCCCTCCCGCCTCTTTGACTTCAAGGCCACAACCGAGGAAAAAGGGTGCTTATGTATACGTCTGCCATGTGAAACTCGGTCGAGACGAGTTGAGAAATTGAGAATTGCAGTCCTTTCGCAACTTGGTTGGCACGCCGCGAAGAATATTACTACTCGTAATTAGCCTTGGATCGGAAACGAAGGTAGGGAACTAACTTCTTGGGCTCTGCAAGCTCCATATAATTGGGTACCTTTCGTTTGAACCACGCCATTGAAGGTGTCAGTATTGGGTCGCCAAAAATGACGAATCCAATGGCCAACCCAGTTGTCTTATAGACCATGTAATAATTAATAAAAAGCGACATGAGGAATAGAGGGACTAGAACAGCATCGATTCTGAGGAAAGCAACATGAGAAAATGGTGAAGTTGGCGAAAGTGCGCTGAAGTTATGTTAGTAATTTCCGTAAAGGTACAGTAAAGGCACCTTACTTCGCAACCCTCTCCCAATTATCAGCAACCTCCCCAACCACATGTGGCGCAACATCAAGGATATTGGCAACAGTTTCCGGGTTGACACCAGCCCATATGATCTCTTCCATCGGCTCCTGAGTCTGATCGGTAGTCTCGGTGATATGCCCTGGTGCGGAACCTGCGGCTTGGACGGCTTTGACTGCTTCCCTGACAGGCTTCGGAACCTTCCCCTCCAGTGGATCTCCCTCCTGCTGTGGCTTGTTATGCATACCGATAGCCCTTTGAAGGTTATGTCGGACGTTGTCGACGAAATTGGCCGCTTCCTCCTCCATAGCTTCACCCGGCTGCTTTTCCGGAGCACCGGTGAGTGTGTCGTTGGTGCCTAGCTGACCTGCCTGCGGCTTCTGGCACCCGCCTGTCATGATGTTTACCAGAGCACGCGGTGCTGGCGGAAAGAGTGCGTTGCGAGCTTCCACAGAAGAGGCCACGAGAATCAATGTCCCCAGGAGGAGCGGCATAAGAAGATCAAGTAGCCACGCAGTGAAATATACCTTAGTTGATGTCAGTACGACGTTTTGCTGCGGTACAGAGGTCAGCGTGGCTTTGTGGTCAACGTACCGCGCAGAACGCCGATGTACGGCGAGTCTCCTTCCATGAACGAAGTCGCGATACTTGTTTTCCAAGACTTGCGAAGCCAAGAACCACAGTCAAGTAAATCCGTTCCAGGTGCAGCGTCAATTTGTCGGCCGCATGATCCTGAGACCACGCATCATTAAGGTCGAGACCACTTGCGATTTCCATAGGCACAGCTCTGACATCGAAGACATCCTACGTAATCGAAATCAGTCCTGTAGAAAAGAATTTTCCTTGGATAGCATGATCGGACGGGGGAAGTCCCACCTTGTTGAAGCGTCTGATGAATTGAAAAAGCTCTCTATTTGTGTGACCACCTATCAGCGGATCAGGTATCTCTACATTAGCCTTATGCCAACCAATATCTCTCACGACTTCGGCGTTGCTGCTACTAGGCTGTGTGGTTTGAACAGCACCTCGGACCTCTGGTACCTGGTGCGCCAGCTCGTGACTGTCCGCATTAAGATCCTTCCGCAAGATCGCTGCCGGGCCTTCCACCAGCACATGGGACTGATCTTGCAAGGTAGCCATCATAGTAGGGAGCTTGGTGTCATGAATGTTCGTGCCTGGTAGTACCGCCTGGTGGTCGAGACTTCGGTGAGCCCGCGGAGCAGTCCGTCCATTGGATGAGCCAAGCAAGGCATATGCTCTATCTTGCAAGGTAGCTGACATCGTTGGGGAAGCGTTGTCACGAACGTCAACGCCTGGCAGGGAATGCACCAAAATTGGTGGGGAAACGTCATTCACGTCCATCCCCTGACGTGACGTCGTCGTAATTGTGTGCCGCATATCGAGTCGTGGGGATGTCGTCATGAGTCGGAGCTAGCGTGGTATCGAAATGTGATGTCGCACGTCCGTTCACACTCGTCCTTGACGATATTGAAGATATGTGCCCTGGTATGGCCGAGGACGTGGCTGCTGGTCGACTTTCTGGATCTGTTCTTTTACGGCTTGAGTTAGCGTCTCATCGATCGCTAGAGGGATGGTGCCTTAATTCTTAACAACGTACCTGCGTGATCTCACCGACGGACAACCCCGCCAAGTGCTTGGAAATCAAAGAACTTCAACATGCTAACAAAGCCACCTCGCACAGAGTCCGGATAATCACGCCTAAATGTTTGAGGTTTGAGTTAAATTATCAAACACTCCCTGGGGAGAAGGATAGCCTTTTCACATAGAGTTTTAAACAAGAACCATGACCGCACATCAACACCCGTTCAACAACGTCTCTTACGGGAGACCCTTCTGAAAGGGTTGAAGCCACGTTCCTGCTTTCGTTGCTGCTCTTTTTGGTCGAATATTCTCGCGCTGACCTTGAGGCATTTGAACGAAACAAGAACCCTCGATGGATACCCGCAATACCTCAATGCTGCTTATGCTGTCCTGTCCAATGTGATCTCTTCAGACAAGTCAGGCTAGGTCTCAAGAATGCTTTTCCCAACAGGCCAATTTTGATACTTACAAATATGCTTTTCCCAACAGGCCAATGTTGATACTTCAAATAAGATGCCGGCAAATTGATCCGTATTTCCAATCTCAAGATAGAGAACGGCATCATCAACACAGTTCTTAGAGAGCACTACCCGTCCACATTCCGTTTTTTGTAGGAACAGGAGTGCTTTCTCCTGCACCCGTTTTGGACCTTCGTCAAAAGCCTTGTATACACGGTCGCCAAAATATTCGTGGAGTACAGCCGTGTCAAGTCTAGCTAGCGCGCCGAGCAAGCACATTGAGGAAACCACCGATCATTTTCCGGTACTTAGCTTCCGCAGCTACCTTGATTGCGATGCGTTGTGCTTTAACCACCAGCCTCGAAATGCTTTATCCTCAGATTGGCGGAGGTTTTCGACGGTCTCTTCGTATGACGACGACAGTACATCACAGCTGGGGGATCGGGCCTCATCTACGGGATGGATAAGAGAAGAGTTATAAAACAACACTTTGAGGGCGAAGAGAGTGATGCTGAGCGTGAGCGTCGAGCATATACACGTCTTGGTTCACATCCAAATAATTACGAGCTATCTTGGAAGTCTGAAAGAAGGATCTATAATTCTGGAATGAGGTCAGTCCTTCGGGAAAAGTATCAAAATCGAGTGCGGACAAGATTCCATTGCATAGGAAAGTCCGCTGGTTGAGGCAGGCTGCAAAGGGTTTAAGATACGCACATGAAAAGGGCATTGTCCAAGCCGATGTTAGATGTCACAATATGACCTGACAAGGGCCTATGGCCTGACGATATCCATGGGATCCGAGTGCCTGAAATTGATTGACTTCGGAGGTGCGAGTATTGATGGTGAAGAGCATGGCTCCTGCTATCAATGGTATAGTTATCGACGATCAACACCGGAAGTCAGCAAGCAGACCGATATCTTCGCGTTTAGTTGTGTGATATACGAGATCTCGACGGGCAGACACCCATACCACGAATTCGAAGCATCTGACAATCGGTCACACCTTGTCGAACAATTGTATGAAGAATACCAATTTCCTGATATCACAGATCTACCATTGGGCCAACTGATGCAAGGCTGCTGGCATGGCACGTTCAATTCTATGAGCGACGTCGTCCAGGCGTTAGAAGCGGCAGACTCCGTGAGCATGAATGCGAAGTATGGAGCTGGTACTGTTACCAAAGTTCGCAAATGCTGCTGCTTTCCCATTTAAAGTATTTACTTGGAAAAAGATGAGATCACCAGGTCGAGACATGCATGCTTTGCCTTTGGATGTCTTCTCTTCCAGTTTGAGCAGGGAAGTCCTCTGCATAGCGACACTTTCGACCATTTACCTCTACACCAACGGATATTGTACATCGAGCGCTTGTATTCCGAGGGAAACACCCTGACGTATTCGGTCTTTTCTTTTCAGGGCGGACTATTCTAGCATGTTGGAATCTTCTATTTCGAGATATTAGTATGGCCGAATGGTTGATGGCCTTGAGCAGGGCTTTCTAGCCAGCCTTTGCAGTTACACTCATCTCGGTCGTACGAACCTCACTCCGCGCGCATTGTGCCTTCGGACACTTTAATCATGTATGCCAATCCCACTTTTCCACGTCCACAGACATCTCTAGTTCCAGGACAAAACTTCGAAGCTGCCACAACGAGCTCAACGGCCCCCTCCACTGGAGCTTCGACCAAACAGGGATACTCGAGAGTTGTCGCCAAACGAGTTACGAATAATGAGAAAGCAACATTACTTTACAAAAGCGAAGGCCGTTGGAAGGGAATGGGGACGGTGGAGATGCGCGAGACCGAAGGAAAAAAGGTGTATCTCTCTTTGGAGAAACAGATATACGTTGAAGTCAAAGATTGTAAAAATGAGTCTGTCACGTCGATCAGTGTCTATGCCGCAGTGGGTGACATACTGTGGAGGATGGCACGCGATGCGGAATTGCTAAATATGCGTGATATGCAGAGTGCCACGAAGGAGAAACTTATTGAGTACATGATATCCCTTCAAACCAGTCTCGAGTCGAGAATGTCGAAACCGAAACGGAAGCGCAGGAGTCTGCGTTGTGTCCGTCCCTCGGAAGTCCAGCCTAGTACACCCTCGGAGTGGTACCGAGCTAGGGAGCGAAGATCTGCAGCGCAGTATCAAAGCATTACGCGTCAACCAGAGGACTACCTGCAGCAACTCCAGGCGAGTTGCCAAAAACTTGGCTCAGCGGAGGAGGCGTTGAGCAGAGTCAAACACGAACATAGTGAGCAAGAAAGCAAAATCACCGAGCTCCAGAGGCATCTCATGGCAGCAGAACAAACCGTCACTAGTCAGACTAGCGAGCTCGCAACCCTGAGGCGACGTCTCCACGAGAGAGACCAAGCGGCTGAGCAGAAACTTCGCAGTTACAGGCATCGACTATCAGCGACTAATCAGACTCTGGTACAAGCCCAGCGTGCCGCAGAATCAACTACGGAAGAGCTGTTGTGTACCAAAGCCACAAAAGAACAAGTGGAGAAGGAATTCAAGGAAGCCTGTCAACAAATGAGCAAGCTACCACTTACAGCTCAACAGAAGAAGAGCTGGCGGAGGCTCGACGAACCATTGCCGAGCAAAAAGGCGAAGTCTCATCGCTCCAGAAACAACTCAGTGAAAGCCAAGCACATGCTAGGGAGCTCCTTTCTACATCTCGGGCAGAATTAAAGCAGGTGAAGTTGACATTGGATACCGCCACACAGCAATTGCAGTGCAACGAAGCGAAGCGGGCAGATTTTGAAGTGGAGCACTCGGTCAGCGGCCAGCCATAAAATGCAGAAACGAGAAGCAGACGGTGCAGAGCGTCAGATGGTCGAAGTACCTACCGTCGCGGCAACAGAAGTGGCTTCCGCACAGCTTGGAGAGACATTTGGAGAACATATCTGGAATCAACCCGAGCAACGACGACAACGTGCGAATGCGATCAACGATGTTCAACCGACTTTTGGCCACGACCCTGGTGCACTTGAGACGGGCGACGACTGTTTTACAATTATCAGCCAGAGGATCAGTGGTGTATGCAAGGCTCTATCAATACAGAAGATAACGTGATACGAGTCGTGGCTGGACAGACCTGCCTTCCAAGATGTTGCCATCAGCTACCGGAGGCACAACTAATCAAGGCTGCAAACTGTGTGCGAAACATCTCGAGGAGTTTACATGGATTACCTTGTCAGGAATGGGAACGGATTGGTGGCCCGGTCTCACGTGCCCGGCACGTGGAGGCCATCAATGTGATGCAGACAGCCTGAAGACCATAATGGGTGTTACCAACACCTGGCAATGTGGGCTACCCTGTTTGAAATCGACGAAGATTTGATATTGCGGACCTGGAAATGGTACGTTGATCTTCTGCAAAAGGAGCTGGGATTGGCACGGAGCACATACGTACTGGTCGAAGTGATGCAAAAGGTGAGCCATCAGACACCACGGAAACTGACAAACCGCCTCTGCTGGTGAAGGACGGCTTGGTCGATGGGCACCAACGGCTTTATGGCCCATTGGTGAATTTTGGCACATCCGAACCCGAGAGCCTGGTCAAGAAAACCATCACTGTCAAAAGCAATGACGACTCTGGCGCAATTTGGCACTTGGTGTCTTACTACCGGCCTGTTGGTGTTCTCCAAGGCCGTTTGCCAGTCCAGACAATCAACCAGGATTTCATTCTGCAACGATGGCACCTACCAAGAAATCCAATACCGTACGGAAACTCGTACGACGGCCAACGAGCTGCAGAAAGCAGATTATCGCAAATGACACACCTGTGGGACAGTTCCCACCATGCTCAACTAGATTGGCCCATATTGAAAGAGTCTGACCGTTACCACACCAATTCCCACCAGGATCCATTTTCAGAACTTGTAATTTACGATAACGCTGCCATGCCTTGGTCAATCGATGGCCTGTTGGATCCAAGTCTTTTCCGTTATGGCAAAGCAGTGCTGACGGCAATTTTATCTTGTAGCGCCTCAATCCAGACCGCTGTGGCCAGGACACAATATGCGGGAGGCAAAAGAGAGGTATCGACGGCGTTGGAATAAGGTGGATAGGTCCCGGAGGAGGGTATGGCTTGATGCTGACGGTCCCAGCGAAGGTCCAGATGATGGTCAAGCCAATCAATAATCGGAAGCAATTCTTCCTTTGAGCAACCGACCTTTTTGGAATTCATGCTGACGGGGCCTTCGGGATCGCATATGCCGTATCGGCCAAAGGTTGCAGAAGGGACCGAGGAGGACCAGAAACAGTGGCCCTTAAGGCAGACAATTGACGGAGCCAAAAATTGGGAATCGTCATCAACTCCTTTTTTGGCCCACCGCTACATTTAGACATGGGACGGTGCATAGTAGCTCCCTAAGTTTCGTGGTTGAGGGCGCTTGGTGTTCGCCTCATAGAATGTCTGATCATTGATATTGAAAAATTGAAGTCGACCACCATGAAAGGTCAACCGTATTTCGCTAGCGTCATATCAGCTAGCGGGGGTAGCTCGGTAACTTACGTGCTGCGACGCCAGTCGAGAAGGATATATCACGCTGGACAGTGCTTTTCGAGGAAACCGAGTTGAACTCGAACCGTAATCGTTGAAGATGTAATGCATTTTAGCGCCTTGGCACTATTCCATGGGATTTCTATATTTTCGGTAACGCGGAAAGGCGGCAAGAACCAAGTGCGGGAGTCCAAGGGAGCTTGCAAGTAGAAGTGCCGTGATATTTCCCCATAATCTTTGGAGTACAAGTCTGTTTCAAAAACAAACACCAAGCTTCGCGTCAAGACGCTCGGACAACGGTGCCTCAAACTCCTGCAGCAATTTTGCCCTGGCGCATCACGAGCGCCTAAGATATCTGAGAAGAAAGGTGGTGGAGATGTCTATATCCTCGCACGTGATCATGATGCGTCGACAAGGTCCGCCGTGTGGAAACCCACCCTGTTAGATGACTAATGAATTTCAAGGCTCACCGCGCAGCACTTCTTGATGACGACAAGAGTAGGCGGCCTGTTGCTGCCTCAATTAGAGCCAATATGGCTGCTGCAGTCAATGCAAGTGCCTATAAAATCGGCCGGATCGCATGTGGCCCGCCTTCGTACTACGCTTTTCTCTTCTACTCTTCGTCAAAGTCAGGTTCCATCTCCTCCCCGTGCATATGTCCCATTTCGTGTTCTTCTCCTCCTTCATGCTCCATTTCTTCTCCATAGTCTCCACCTTCCTGGTGCATCGGATCCTCGTGGGCGCCTAGCGGAGCGTAAGGGGTCCCGTCGGCGTGATGTTCCGCGACGGCGCCCTGGTAGCCATGAGGGATCTGGTTGACGCCCTCCCCGTACTGATTCATGTGTTCGATCGCATAATTTTCCTCTCCAGGGTGGCACACTATTTGACCGCCTTGATAGACCGTATTGTCGCCATTGGGATACAGGTGGTACCGTTCGCGGCAACCAGAACCGTTCGGTACATCCACGGTGAAGTGTCCCTATTCATCACCCGCGACCCCGTCTTTCCGCTTACCGGAGCCGTGATTGAAGTCATGCAAGACGGGTGTCGTTCCATTGGTTGCTCCTGCACGCTGGAAACCCTCGTGCAAGGGGGATGGGCCGCTCGTGTGGGGGAGGGAAGAGGTCAGTGACTCGTGGGCGATTCGGATCCATTGGTTCGAAGATCTCGGTCGGTGGGATGGACTTGCGGAAGGTTTGCAGCAGGTCGTTCTCTGCAGGGGGAAGTCATTGCTCGAGTATGGATTTGTTGAGCAGTCAAAGCGAACTCTGCGAAAGCTGAGAGAGGGAGGGCGACAGCGTTCGGGACAACACAGGAGGATGCGGCTGGCGAAAGCAGCGAGAGGGCTTCCTCGCAATATATGTGCTGACCCTTTCCTCTTGGGTGGGGAGAATTGTCACGCTCGGCGCGAAGTCAAGCAGAGTCGAGCTGTGCCAGCCCTAATGCGTAGACGCAGCGACGCTGCTTTGAAAAGACTCGCGTTTTCGTTGGACATGCTCAGAGCCTTGGAGACGTCACAACGGCAGACTTGAAGGGCCAATCATAGCCGTTGTCAGCAGTCCCCACCAAGGTGAGCAAGGTCGGTGTTGCACCATCCGTGCCGAGACGCTAGACCACTTGGCCCCCACGACTGGTGAGACACGGGTCACTTACCCCGCTCGGGCGAGCCGGGGTGAGCACAGGGTGGCGTCACCCCCGTCCCGATCCGGGGTGGAGGCGCGAGCAGTTTTTACTCATCTTGGCCTTCAATCTTCACTCAGATAGCTGGGGCTTCTGTGGAACCGATCCACAGATTTGGTTGCGTGTCAATTGTGGGAGGTTTATTAAGATCATTAGTTGCTTAGGTGCTCTAAGTACTGACTTGATATGGCTCAGACTTCTCAACTTCTAGGGTCCAGCAACAACAACTTCTTCGAGCCTCCCAATCTTGGTTTCCCTTACAGCGACGTCTACGTTGCGTTGGAAGGAGACAGCGAGAGCCGGCTCATTCGTCTTCTGCCAGGTTCAGGAGAAAGCCCAATACATTGCAAGCTGATCAACAATGTGAACTTCCGAGCCCAGAAAGCTGCCGAGCCAAACTATGAGGAGAGGGCAAATGCTTGGATTCGTGACAATCTCGAGCAATTTATGGCAAATCCACTTCTCGCGACAACATATTTAATCAACGAGCACAACCAGCATGCCATGAAGGCTCTTGAAACTAATTATGCAGCATTGTCTTACTGCGCAGGGGATCCCAACGACTTTGAGCCTATATGGGTTGACGGCCATAAGTTCAATGTGTTCCGCACCTTATTCAGAGCGCTGAAGCGTTTCCGTCACTCAACCGAGCCTCGACCCCTATGGGTGGATCAAATATGTATCAACCAGCGAAACACTCCCGAACGGGACGGTCAGGTCTTGCTAATGAAGGACATCTATGAGAACGCCGACTCTGTTAAGATTTATCTCGGTGAGGAGGAGTTCTTGAATGGAGTTAGCAGCAATCGTGCGTTCGACCTGTTGGAAAATTTCTTGGGCACTAAGATGGCTGCCATCCAGCGTAGCATATACCGATTTGGAGATAGTCACGGATCGAGCGCGAATTGCGAAAAGGGTGGTACCAGCATTACACTCTCAACTTCAACAGCGACGATATAGCATCGAACGACGCAGACTTGATGTCGGCGATTGATAGCATGCGTCGCTATCTCATCGATGCTGCACTTGGCGACTTCTGGGTCGCATTCTTCTCTTTGCTTGAAAAACGTGGTGGCGCCGATGTTGGGTCATACAAGAAGTGATCGTCGCCCGGAAAGCAACTATCAACTGCGGAGATATGGCGGTCGACTTCGATGATTTCGTTCTTTTCCTAGTCATGGCTCTTTGGAGTCTGAGAATAAGAATCCCTGGTGAAGAATCGAACGAGCGCACGGTCACGCTTTCTAGGATGCTGTTCACATGCATGCAGCAACCTTATCGAATAGCAGGGGCACGTGTTGAATTCGATGTCCAGACGGCCACCCCTATGAGTCTCTTGCGAACCTTTGCGTACGCCAAAGCATCAGACTCAAGAGACAAAGTCTACTCGACGCTTTCGCTCCTGGGACGAGAGCGCGCGCAAGGATTCGGCTTAACGCCAACCTATGCTCCCTCCAACACCACAGCTGCAGTCTTCATCCAAGCAGCTAAAGCATGCATTACATCATCGGAGGAGCTTGAAGTCTTTAGCGAAACTTACGGTGCCTCACCAGACAGCCATTTCGGCTTGCCTTCATGGGTGCCGGATTGGACTCGAACCGAGGAGAACACCAATACCAAATGCAACCTCATTCACAAGATCTATGGGTTTTCAGCCACCGGAAGACCAGGCATGGCGAGCTCGGCGGACGTGACGTACTCTTACGACGGTCTCAAGGTTCTTGCTCGTGGTATCTTGATCGGGAAGGTCAGCAGTATCGGCGCTGTTGATGAGGAACCGGACCTGCACACGACAGACAACCTGAATAACATATTGTTCACGCTCAGGTCCTGGAAGCAGCTCTCCAAACCGAAGAGTGGCACTGAAATGAGGCAATTCTGTCAGACAGTAACATTGGAACAGCATCCACCGCTAGATGCCTTGGGATGGGACAATCCTAACACCTTCGAGGAATGGGTGAGAAGCCTCGTTCAGACAGGGCGGCGGACAGGTCTTGGCCGCCCATGGTACCGCCGGCGATTCTGCCAGCTCAGTCACGGAAGCACAAGCAAGATGGCCGTGCTTCCAGCGAGCGCCGAAGCCGGAGATATTGTTTGCGTATTTTGGGGCGCAAATGTGGCTTTTGTCCTTAAGGAAAGAGGCAAGTGGTGTTATTTAGCAGGAGAAGCTTACGTACATGGCGTAATGCACGGAGAGCTGATAGAAGAAGAGGACCGAGCGTGGAGAGAATCAGCATATTTTGGGATCGCATAGGGAATAGGCTGGTCGGTGGGTTGGGTTCTGCGTACCTAAGCACTCTCTCAACCCACTCATGGGTCGACCTAAGTGAAATCTTGTAACCTAAGACCCAACTTAAAATCCACGAGTTTTGGGTGTACATAGGCCGCGTTCGGCTTGAAGGTTAGAGTATCGACGAGGTCGTAACGCCTCTCAACTTGTCTTGCCGTGAAGTTCATAGACAGAAGTACTCGGCACAGCTTGTTGCGATGTTGTAGCTACTCTGTGGCGAGCACAAGGTGGCGGCAAAATTGGGGTCTCGAGGCGGGTTCGTGGAGACGTGCCAAGAGGGTTAGAAAACCCAGGGTGTTCTCTGCATCTAAGACCTGTTCTTGAGGGCTTAGTCAACTCATTTCCAGAGGACTATCGCCTACCACCAAAGACCAATGAGCAGTTCCTCTCTCTTACTGACGCCGAGAATCGCCCAATAACCTCTGCTGTTGTTACAGGCTTTTGCCTTTGTTCGCCTTGGTGGTGGGACAAAGGCTATTCCTGGCCAACTCTTCAAATGTATACACCATGGCGAGAAAACTCGTAACTGGCGTAAGCTTGAGGAAAAGGTGGTGTATGATGACTTTGGTCAGATTGTAGCGCAGCGAAAGAAGGAGCCAACTAGTGTACGCCAGACAGGCTGTCCCTGGTCAGTCAGAGTCAGTTATAAAGGTGTTCACCGTGGAAGTACAGAAAAGGCATGGATTTTCACTGTATTATCACTTAATCATGAAGGTCATGACTTAACCGAGAACCCTCTTGCCGTCTACCCTCTATTGCTTCAACAAATCGACGAGTGGCGACGGATCAAGGCATTGCAACTGCCCGCCGTTTTGCAATCATTCCTTACTCTGCCTCTCGTAGAGTGCTTGAATCTGAGGAATTCGGTCTCCCTCTGAGTCAGAAACAGTACTATAAGCCACCCCTTGCCAGGTACTTCGATTCAGCCCGACAAACGGCCGAATACCGACCCGATGACAGTTGGAGGTGAATGACGGAGGGCGTGACAGTCACGCCTCGATCCGTCAGCCACAGCCCGTGGCTTAGTGCCCTTGCTGCTTGAGTACGACTGGTTCCCCGAAGTCAGCACGTGATGCGTCCTGTATCGAGGAGTCAGCTTGACTGCGGTCCCGGGCACACCGGGAATTCCTAAGATCGTCTCGGCTCACCAGCACTACACTCAAAGAATGCGGAATACTCCATTGGACACCTGTTTCAACAATCATTGGGCCTCGAAGGCCTCGTCCGATCTTGCTGAACCAGTGAAACATGGGCCTGTACTCACGGAGGTTGAACTGCCACGTCAGCAGTTTTGATCTGACGCTGAGCCGTTCGGCCTCATGTCTGATTGTCCTTCTCTTGGTCTTGCGCATCTCGACCCATTTCCCTTAATGGCATTCAGCCTCGGTTTTCTTGAAAGACGTGAAGCGTTTGACACTGTTTCAGCAAGTCGAGACAACCAATCTTTGCCAAAAGGCGTCGACCGAAGACCAACCGGAATACCTTGCCTCTCAACTTGTGTCCCTCCTCGCATCGAGCATGTCTAACACTGGGGACTATAACGTTGGCTGGATCTGCGCTATAACTACGGAATACGTTGCCGCACAGGCGTTTCTCGACAAGAGGCACGACGGACCCGAATACGTCTCTCCCCGCGATAACAACGATTACACTATGGGAAAGATTGGGAAACACAATGTTGTTATCGCTGTCTTGCCCGACGGCGAATACGGCATAGCCTCGGCCGCAAACGTTGCGAGTGATATGCTGCACAGCTTCCCTAACGTCAGGATTGGTTTAATGGTGGGCATTGGTGGTGGCGCGCCCAGTCAAAAGCATGATATCCGTCTGGGAGACATTGTTGTCAGCGCTCCTCGCGATGGGAACGGCGGTGTGTTCCAGTACGACTTTGGCAAGACGATACAAGACAAGAGCTTTCAGACGACCGGTTCATGTACCAGCCACCAACGGTACTGCGGACGGCGGTGAATGGACTCAAGGCACAGCATGAGGCTAGGCTTGATCCCGGGAACAGGGTCCGGAATATCCCTACTCACGACCCGGTCATTGAGATAAAGCGCAAGGGAATTTTTGGGGATCCGGAGGAATCAATGGACAGAATAAAATGGCAGAAAGCTATGCTGGACCTGGCAGTTGGCATTGCAAAAAGGTTTGTTGCCGAGCTTGAACCTTCAACGTCGACATACTCGGACGAAGGCAAGAATGCAAAGTCGCTTGTGCTCGATGATCTTTCCGGTGACAAGGCTCTGTCCATGAAACTTGCCGACTTCGGCGTTGTCGCCCATGAGGTCGGTACTTTGCGTATGCAGACCAAAGAGAATCAAGATCACAAGGGCGACAGAGCTTGGGTCGTCGACCGGAACCTCAACTTTAGAGGCATCAACAATCTCTTCGTCTGTGATCTATCCGTGTTCCCCGTCAGTCCAGCGGCCAATCCCACACCAACACTGGCTGCGCTTGCGCTTCGGCTGGCAGACCACCTCATCAACCCTGATGGAAGAGAGAGTAAAGCTCCAAACGATAGAAAGCAGACGAAGCGGTATTCGAAGCTCTGAAGGGCTATCAAAGGACCTAAGTGAAACGTTCCAATATTCATCTTGATTTCCTGATGCTCACACTTGCCACACGGAGCGATCGGGGAACGAGTGGAGGAACAGTCCACAACGTACATTCGGACGCGGCTACAGCAAAGGATACTTGACGCGAGATGGGCCACAGCCTGTCATACCCGAGCGCCTGTGGTGAGATCAAAGAAAGGGCTGTAAGTAGTCAAACGAGAAGCCGCTTAGGATATCGAGATCTCGATATTATGGCTACTCCAAACGAAACCAAACACCAACCAAGCCCGGAGAGAGATTGGAGATGAAGGGAATTCATCTGGAACCGCTTCTTCTGTACTCCTCGCTTCATGTGAGAGAATGTTTCTAGCTGTATTGGCTACGGACCGGGAGACCTTGATATCACATCGCCTCGTTCCTTGAAAATGCATCTTGTGGGCACTAGTCTTGCTTGATGCTGATTCTGTGGATGATTTGTAATACGGTTGCGCCAGAAAGCCCAGTTGAAGGCGTCATCACAAAGCTCGCAATCCAAAAAGGCAGCGGAAGAACCTGCGTAGATCCCGATTCAGTTCCACTGTCCTGTGGCCGAATCGTCACGTACTATTTATCACTTGGACAGAGTTTTGGCATGCGCATAGCGCTGCGTCACTCGCTGCGCCAGCACATGCTCGGATATGTGTCTCTGACTCTCCTCGCTGCAAGACAGAGGTTCGATTCGAGGAAGCGAGGAAACAATTCCTGCGAGGAAACAATTCCTGCGAGGCCTACGTTGATAATCGCAGCTATCGACACGGGTTCTGTCCTGCAGCAAGATCCTCGGTAAGAGTGTAACATGGCACGTCACAAGCAATAGGTCAAACTTCCAGTCTTCCCTGTCTTCCTTTCTGCCCGGTTGTGCCTAATCCAATTTTAGATTCCACGTGTAGCAGCACAACGATGTGGCAAGCAACCTCGTATGTCCTCTATACAAAGGCTGCACGTAAATCAGGAAAGAGACCTCCTCAAGTCGGTGGCGGTAAGTGTCGATTTCGGGCACGGGTACCTAAGTTAACAAACTACGCATCAAAAGGCCTCATCGATATAGGCCAGGTACTGTTGCCCTCTGAGAGATCCGACATTACCAGGTACTCTTATCTTCTTAATTTATCATGAATATAGCTTTGACCTATTAGGCAGCGCTCAACAGATCTGCTTATACGCAAATTGCATTTCCAGCGGCTTGTGCGCGAAATCGCGTAAGATTTCAAATCGGACCTTCGATTTCAGTCATCTGCGATTGGTGCCCTTCAGGAAGCTACCGAAGCTTACCTTATCTCACTCTTTGAATATACGAATTTGTGTGCCATAGATGCTAAGAGAGTCACCATACAGCGTAAGGATATCGCATTGGCACGTCGCCTACGTCAGGATCACTTAGATCGGAAGTGATACCATAGATTGAAGGATGTGGAATTACTTGACGATAACTTGGATTGCGTAACTAGCTCCTTCTAAAAGAATATTGTGTCTTTTGGATATGGATGAATATGGATGATGAACACCTTGGAAGATGCTTCATCCCTATAAATCTACTCGCCGGATTCATAGTGAAGCTCGAGGATAACGGAAACCTCTACGCGTAACGAATATTTTGTGTCCTTGTTTCGAGCGACAATAAGTTGTCCTGTGGCCAGGGCGTGCCGTGCACGGGCCACAACTCCGTTGAGGTAATTGTGGCTTGTGCACGCCTGCTCTACCGATGTTTGGCCGCACACCGCAGAACGGGAGGGCGATTGCCGTATTCGTTGGCTCTCCCACGCCCCTAAGGTCCTTCCGGTTGTGGCCTGTGCATGCCAAGACAGCCCTTTTTCTACCAGCAACCACGCGTTACAGATATCAACACCAGAGATCACGTCGGATCGTAACAGCACTCCGCTCTCAACACCGCAAAATTTCGAACCGTCAATCTTTACGATGTCGGCCGTCAACGCAAGAATACAAGGTATAGAAGACACGCTCAAGAAGCTCCTAGATGTCGTGGATAAGCATGGGTCACCCGGCAGGCGCCGGTCCGCCAAATCGCGCAAGCCAAGCCAACCGCCTTGGAAGACGATCCGGTCCATCATTGAAAAGTTGGCGCAAGACGTTCAGAGTGTTAAAGAAATGGTTGAAGGCTCCGGTAACAACACGGGGCACGACCGGAGCACGGAAGCTGATGACGGAAACGCCACTCCGAAAAATCGACTACAGATCTTGGATCAACCACCACATAAGAGACAGCAAATTGGCCGGAACTCTTCAGGGACCGCGCAATGCACACAAAAGGATGGATCTTTTTCTGTAGATTCCAGCGCGAGGCCAGACCGTCCGGCGACACCAACGCCGCTGCTCCATGGGTTGAACGTGGACGAGAATCGCGCTCCATCAACTTCTGTTCCTGATCCATCGTGCACCGCCCCAACCACTGTACCGACCACAGTTCCTACTAGAATGGAAAGCCCACAAGCCAAAAAAAATACTGCAGTGGGCGTGACTATGCCGCACCGTTCGAGCCACCCTATCATGTCGGCAATTTCTCAGTCCGACACTTCGACACAGAGCGTCTCTGAAATTCCTCGAAATCCCAACATCACCATCTCTTATCGAGTGGAGCAGGGCGTCGTTGTTCTAGTGCCCGTGAACATGGAGCAGTGTCGCGATATGCCGTTTCTTTTCGCTCAGGCCGAGGCACTTGGTGCACGTGAAACAGGAGTGTTCAAGTACGTGCTCCCGAGCGACCTTGAACTCGGCGCCCACGCCGTCCCTAGGATTACAACGCGTATGTCTAAGTTTGGGTCTCGCCTCGGGCCGGACGACATCTTTCATATTTCACGGACCGAGGATCCGGAGACGCCTGAGATCAGCGAGACCAGCTTCACACCCACAGAGCCAGATGAACTATCAGAGATGTTGGAGCGTCGTCTGGCCGATCCTGAGGCGATAAGCAAGATGCGATACTGTACCGATCTCCCGGCGCAGACTGCCGAAGCTCGGCGACAATTGGGCTTACCCGCAGAGTCCCCCATCTGGCCTCTGAAAAGTAATATGTTGGATTGCACCAAGTACCGTGTCCCGGGACTCCACTGGCCGTATGGATATGTGTCGGGCGATGACGGATCGCTATTTGTCATACACCGTGAGGATGGCAAGCTGCCGTCGCTGAATGTCCTACACTATGGCAGAGAGAAACTCTGGTATGTGGTGGCTCGGAAAGATGGCTACCTCGTCGAAAACGAAGTGAAACGCGGGAAATGTGAGCAGAAAGTACGACACGCTTCGCGCTGGATTCCGCGGTCAAAGCTCAGAGCCATTGGTGCTTCCTTTGTCACATTCGTCCAACGTGCCCGCGAGGTGGTCGTGGTGTGGGGCGATAGCTACCATCAAGGTGGTACCGTTGGCCCCACCGTTGCCGAAGCCGTGAACTATGGCGGCCCTGGTTGGAGCATCGAAGGTTACTCTGAATGCAGCCCCAATTGCGATGGATATCCTATCCCAAATGCGTTCTTGGAGTTCCGTTCCCCGAATGAACCACAGCGCGAGCAAGGCGGCGAAGTTTCACAGACAGTTCACGCCTCGGTCC